TTCCGCCCTCTGTTGCCTGGGTGCTGTGAAATCCCATGAGGTTGAGATGGGGTAGAGGGTAGGGGTGGTGCGAGCCTGTCCTGTGCTTTATCCCTTAAAGTGTCAGCAGAACGCTTGTGAAGGAGAGGGATGGTGTCCAGAGTCCTCAGATTCCTGCAGCCCTGCTGGGCCAAAGGAGTTAATCCAGGGCCTGTGAAGTTGAGACTGTGACCTCTGTGAACTTCCCTCTTCCCCTTCTCTCAATCTCTGGACAGGGCTAAGGGTAGCCGCTTTCCTCAGTGCCCGCTCCCGGCTCTGCAGTCTCTCTCCATCTCTCTGAGCCGTTCTGGGAAATTGCCCAGTTGTGTTGGCAGATCACCAGCTTCTCTCTCCGTGCCCTGCCTTACCCTAGGCTCCCCAAACCCTGGGCTCCCTGCCCATCCCTCCCACTCAAGGGCACTCTCATGAGGCCTTTATAAGACCGCTCTTTAATAAGGAGGCTGCAGGGACTGCTGGGTGTGGGAGGGGCCATGCACTGTATTCCCATGATAGAAACTGGATTTGGGCGGCTGAGCACTCTGATTTCGGTCCTAGCTTAGTTTTTCCTTGTTGGGTGAGCTAGGGCACTTTCACCTTTTTGTACCTCATTTTCCTTTTCTGTAAGGGGTAGGGGTAAGAATAACAACTCATAGGTTGTAAGATTCAACTATGTTAAAATACATTTAGCAAACTGGACATGGCGGCACATGCCTGTAATCCCAGCACTGAGAGGCCGAGACAGGAGGATTGCAAGTTCATGCCATTTGGCTTAGCAAGATCTTGTCTCATATTAAAAATAAAAAGCAAAAAGAAAAAAAAAAGAAAAAGAAAAAAAAAAGAGCTGGGGATGCAGCTTAGTGGAAAAGCCCTGGGCTCAATCTCCAGTTTTGGAAACAAAAACAAAAACACATTATATACAAAGACCATCTAGTATACACAGTAAATAATAAATGGTAGCTGAAGCTGGTGTGGTGTCACACGCCTATAATCCCAGCACTCAGAGGCTGAGGCAGGAGGATTGCAGCAAGTCTGAGGCCAGCCTGGGCTATGCAAGGCCAGAACAGCCTTTATTATCTGGGCTACATAGTGAGACCCTGTCTCAAGAAAAAAAAAGATAAAAAAAAAAAAAAGATCATTCTCCTGCCTACCTAAGTGACTATCCATTGTCTGCATCAGAGGCCTCCACCTGGGTGCCACCCTGCAATGCCTGCTGGGAATGGGCCCTGGGGGGCTGGGACAGGACTCACTCAAGCCTGCAAGCAGCCTCGCTTGCTGGTTGTCTCTGGCCACTCCACTTACTCCAGCATTCCCTGCAGAACAACTGGAACTTCCTCCTCCCGACTCTTTCACCTCTTCTCCCTATCCTTCTTTTCTTTCTCTCCCTTCTATACTCCCCGCCTTTCTTTCCTCTTTTCTTCCATTCCTTTCTCCCTTTCTTCCTTCCTTTTTATTTGTCTCTCTCTGCCTCTGTCTCCTACTGTGTCTTCCTATCTCCCCCCCACCCCCCACCCCAGCAGTGCCCAGATTGAGCCCAGGGCTTCACACAGGGCAGCTAGGTGCTTTACCACTGAGCTGTCTCCCCAGGCCTCCCTTCACTTTTGGTCAGGCCAATGTGGTTGAGTGACAGCCCTCTGGATTTTTTTCAGAGGAACTGAAAATTCCTGGGGTGGGGGCACCTCTGGGACTAAGAGGTGACTAAATGTGGGAAATTGGATTAGCATTTTTTGAAGAGAGAGCATTTTACGCAAGAGCCAATGCCAAAGTAAAAGATGTCTAAAATGTTTACAGTTCCTTTCTTTGGCCTTAAAATGTGACATTTACTCAAAGAATTTTTAAAAGGAAAAAAAAATGACGATGTCCATCTCTGGGTTCTCTTTCCCTTCCTGCGGCTCTTCAGCCCCCAGTATTGAACCCTGGACAGACTAGGTAGCAGGACAGTCCTTGTTAGTGAAGTCAGCAACACAAAGGGGCATCTCCTCAATGGAGGTGTTGTAGAAGGTCTCAACAGCTCCAGAGCCCTCCTGCCTGTAGTACCCTTATGGCCAAATTGTCCACCATGGCTGACCTGTGGATGCAGTATTCCCTGTTGGTCAGAGAGTCACGGTTAATGACTAAGGAAATGTGCTGTGCATTGGTGCCTCTGGCCAGTGGTAATCAGGGCTCTGCTTTGGCCAGATCTCAGTCACAGCTCTTTCATTTTGGCCCTTATCTCCAGGCATGGCAGAGACAGTGGGATCTTGGAGATGCATCTTCTCAGAGAGCCAGTCAACCCTTCTTCCAGTGTCGATGAAGAAGACTGTCTGGAAGATGGCCAGGGTTGCTTACAACTTACACAGTGTCCAGCTCCTTCACCTCTCATTCCACACTGATGTAGAATTGGTGGAACTCTCCAGGGTCAACTCTCGCTTCTTGACAAGAATCCACATGGAGTCCTCCATGAACTGCTTGATTACCTCAAGCACACTGAAAGGCAGGATGGCTGATGGCAAAACCACCTGGGCATTGTTGTTGAAGTTTTGGAATATGTCATAGATCTGGTCCTTGGATCCATGGCTTCACCTATCATTAGGTTCGTCCAACTCAAACATCTTGATATATTTGGAAGATGAGTATCTCCAGTTAAGCCTATCAAACGCACAGCCAAGGCGACCTACAGTGATACGAGAGCTTCCAACTGCAGCCTCTGCACCTCAACGGACAATGAAGATGCCGCAGGTGGCACTAGGCAACTTCCTGGGTGTCTTATTTCAAGTACTGCTCCCAAAGCCCCATGTAGGAAACTTCATTTCACAGAGGAGGAAAGTGAGGCTCAAAGGCCAAGTTCAAGTATAGGTGGTGAGCACAACATCTGAGCTCCAGAGCACTGATGGTTAATCACTGGGTAAAACATTTCTATTGAGTTATTGCCATCCAGTGGCTGCTTCTATATCTGCTCTAGCCATTAGAGAGAGTTCCTTGAGGCAGGAGTTGCATTTCACCACTGCTAATGCTCTAGAACTATGTAGGTGAAGCACAGACAGAGCAGCATCAAGGGTGTGTTGGTGGAAGACTTGTTGCAGGACACTGGGATCCCAGAGGATGGGCTTATCTCTTGGTTTGTGGCTGATGCTGGAGATGTTTGTGGCAAGGAGTCCCACACTCCTGCTCACCTCAGGGTCTGCTCTGACCCCCAGGACAGTCAGGCAGAGAACCTCTCCCCTACTGCCTGCTGATTCTGTTAGTTCCTGAATGCAGATGTTTCTGAGTTTAAAGCTGTGCTCTCTGCTGAGGTAGGGCAATGTACAGGAGGATGGAGCTGCCTATGGACCAGGGAGGGTAGGAGAGTCCTAGGAAGGCAGATAATGAAGGTCTGTCAGAGCCAGGGTAGGTAAAGGATGTTGCCGGCAGAGGTATGACCAGAGGCTAGTACTAGAGGAAGGGGTAAGGGTCAGGGGAGCAGACACTTTCTAGTCTTTGAAGCCAGAGGATAGACCTTGAGTCTAGTACAATTTTCCACTGTTGTTTAGTGCCAGAAACCAAATTATGGCTTTGCATAATTCTAATTATTGCCTTTTCCAGAGTTCCAGTAGTAAAAAGTAGGGTGCTATACGAACAGCCCCTTTTGAGCCCAGGGCTGTGTGCTATGGTTTAAATGTGGCTTGTCCCTTCCAGACCCATGTTGAAATTTGGTCAAGGTAACAGCGTTGAGAGGAGGTGGGGCCTTTCACAGGTCACTAAATTGTTGAGGAATTGATGCCTTTGTCATGGGTGTATGTTCCTGCTTTTGGAGACAGGATTAGTTCTTACATGCCATGATAAATCAAGGCTACCTTCACGTTTTATCTGTTCCTCTACAGCCTGCACCACTTGGCCTTCCATCATGACAGCAGACGCTGGCGCCATGCTCTCAACCGCCAGAACCCTGAGCCAAAATAAACCTTCCTCATAAATCAGGTATTTTGTTATAGCAACAAAAAATGGATTAAGATAGAATATTATACAATCTACTAACAAATGATCGTAATCTTCATTGCCCAAACAGGTCAATCATTGTCTCTGAAATAGGATAGAAGCTGATAGCATCTGGGTTCTTCATTTTATATCCTTTCAGGAGAAGGTCCAGGGAGCCTTCCTATCCCATGGAATGTGACCTTCTTTATTTGAATCGAACTGTGCATGGCACTTATGAATGTAGACTCTGCAGCTACACTGTTTGGGTGCAAATCCTCATGACTACTTTCTAGTTGTGTGACCTTGCCATCGCTTAACCTCTGTAAGCTGCAGTTCCCTTATTTCCTTCTTGTTAGTTAATACATGCAAACCCCTTAAACAGTGGTTGGCACATAGTAGACCACATAAGCTATTATTTTTATTACTTGTCCAGATATATCAAGGTAGTTCTGAAGAAAGCAATAGAAGTCCTGATTCTCTGCTAGTCTTAGGAGTTTTCATTTCAAAGTGCTAGATTTCTTGCTGTGCTAAAGGAAACTAGGGGAAGGGATTGGTTGTCATCTGTCAGAGCAGGGTAAGGCAGTTCTTTGTGGGTAAGGCAGGCCAGTGGTGAGGTAAGGGACTCACTGGAAGAAGTCAAATTGGAGTTAAGCACCTCCTTACCTGAAAATTATCCTCCGTTGAGCCTCTGCACTGCCCATGGTAGTCCTCCCTGTTTCTATAACTCTACCTTTTTTCTGTGTCTTGATGAGAGAAATCCCTCTCTGACTTGTTTACTGCCATCGCCAAATTACAGCAATGATGTTCAGTAAATGCTGCTAAATTGAATGAAAGGAATTATTTGGAAAATGAGTGGGGCTGAGGAGGCACAGCCTGTGTAAGCAAGTCCAGTTCATCAACGGCTTGAAGACGACTGAGGGCCTTCAGAAGGGGCACCTGGGAGGTTGGAGTCTGGGTCTCCATCTTCACAGCAACACCCACAGCACTTCCTGAGCATCTGTATCATTCCCAAGTAGAGGGGAATCTCGCTTTCAATGACTAAATACAGCCTGCACAATTTAAAGATGTTTTATTAAAAAACCAAAAAGACCAAACAAAAAGCCCAACCCAAGAACTCTTGGTTCTGGGGGTCTGGGAGCAGCTTAGGTTTGTCGGGAGGGTAGAACCTGGAAGACAGACAGTATAGGATTCTACAACCCTGGGAAGAGTGAGAGCCCCACAGCTCTGTCAGGAAGCACCGCCTTTTCCCAGGGCTCTCCCAAAGTACCTTTCTCTGGCTCTTGCATTCATCTACTTGGAAAAGACTGTGGGGTGGGACGGTGGGGGGCTCAGCCCCCAGAAAAAGGCAGGGTGGTCAGTCCTGGAAGGCCCTTAAGCCTGTTAAACTTATCAACCAGCTGGGTAGAAGAGGGTGTCCCAGGCCTTAATTGGGTGTATCAGCACCATCCCTGAAGGTGGCACTCAGCCCAAGCTGGAGAGGGGGGCTCAGATGGAGCGATACACCCCAATTTCGGCATAGAGCTCAAGGCCCTGGGAAACAGAGGGTCCTGATGGGGCAGGACCTGGAGGAAGCCTCCTCCTGGGAGGACAAGACAGGTGCCAGATCCGGCAGGCATGTGGTGCTCAGGGGCCTTGGGGTCCTCGGGGCAGTGCCCTGATGGGTCTTGGGGGTGGGTTGTCCAGGACAGGTTCAGGCCGGACCCGCGCGCTGACACGGCGCTTCTGCTTGCGCAGCAGGTAGTTTGAATACTGCACCTCGGGCATGGCCAGCTTGATGCAGGCCTCAGTGGCGGGGCCAGCGCCACTGGCGCCGCCGGGCAGATCATAGCCCATGATGTCCACCTTGCGGCTGGGCTGCCACGGCTGAAGCTGCTTGGTGCGGATCTGCGCGGCGGGCCTCAGCACCGGCTTGTCGCCAAAGCAGCGGCGCAAGAGGCGCTGGCGAGCCTCCCGCAGCTCCTGCGCCTCGCGCTCCACGCACGC